CACAAGGACGAGAATTGCTACATTAACTACCCCGGAATCAAAGAATCGCCAAGATTATCGCCACGGCCGTCCAGTTACACGCCGCGTGGGGGAGAAATCCGGGGTGACAAGGGGACGAACTCTCCGTTATCTAGCATGATTAGGGGCAATGCAGGAGAGGGTGGTCAGGGTGTATATCTGTTATGCCTCTCCTTATCTATCAGGATCCTTGAGTCCAATACCAAGAGAAGCTCTTCAACAACGAGACAATTAGAGCCACTTTATTATAAGTTAAAGGATAGTCAACAGCGAGTTCAATTCTGTGCATATTAAACAATTCTGGCAGAGATCAATTCCAAGAATTGTTCTAATCATGACCCCAGGGGCTCGGACACTGGGATATCACATGCCTCACCTGCAACTGATAAGATACACAACTTGTTACAGTATTTCCTATCAAGGCCGCGGAGTCGAGCCGGATATCCAGAAGTTTGAAAAGTTATTCGAGGCTTAATCGAAAGTGCCCTAGGCCTCTGAAGGCTAATCAAGCCTCGATGATATTGCTTAGGCAAGAGGATGACTGAAGTGAACGGTGCAATACTCTTGTCAACGACATATTTCGAACATCAGGGATATTGGTCCTTGCTAGCTATCCACGATAAGGAGACTACTGTTCTTTTTTAAATGAAGCCAGGGGAGGAAAGAAAATCCAGGACCTTGATCCCAAATATCAAAAAGACGTAGGTAAATTAGCACAGGTTTAGGATGTCTTTACTAAGCTTAGGATACCGTGTATGGAGTTCAATTGATATCCCATATTGAGTCAAGTCCGATGTTTTCCTCGATGATCTCGTCGGGATCAACTGGGTGGTATACGTTTTGTTCATTGAAGTTGTCACGTTCTTCGAGTTTCCTCCTTCTCCAGCGACCACGGATGGAAGGGTATCTGAACTAGACTCTCAAACCTCTGAATAAAGAACGGTCGGTTTTTTCCAGGCGGTTAGCTATTAACTTTTTAGTACCTCAATCATACCTACCCTCTTATCTCTTGTTGACGTTCTTGTTGCACCATATATTCAGCATTTCTAAATAGCTGAGTTTGACGGTCACCCCGGTTTAGTTGACTGTAGGAGATAGGGGGCTCGGGGATGTATAGCTGCGGTTCTTTCTGAATGAAACGCGGCTTTGGAAGCTATGATGATTATTCTTGACACAGTAATCCTGGCCTCAAACACGTGAAGATCATGGAGAACATATTTACCAACTGTTTCCCTTATCATGAAATGAGTTCTGATGGTATTTGATAGTCATCTAGCTGCAATTGCCCCTAATAAAGTCCTCGAAGACGCCAATGTCTGCGCCAGCCCAGCCGCTGGGACACCCACCCATTGCGAGGGCGATTTTACTTGGCTCGAGAGGATATCCTTCAACGATCTGCTCCAGGAGTAGTGCAACGCTTGCCCCGAAAGCAAGTAACATACTCAGTTTAGATCAATAGAGCCTCGAAAGAGTTTCTTCAACCATATATCCAAATACTAGAGCTTAAATGAGGACTTGGACCCCCTCCCAGCGCTACCTACGTAGAAGCAGTAATATAACTTGGTCCTTGTTGTAAAGTAGACTGTAAATCTTCCTATGGCACCGAGTAAGCGGTAGCGTGGCCAAGTATGAGAATCAGTGATGCCTGTCTGAGCAGATCCGAGCAAGAGGTAGCTGAGGAAGATCAACCGTAGCTTGGGCATACCGAAACCAATCCAGCCTCTTTCCAAGAGTAGTTCGGGGCTATTGAATCTCCCCAGTCTCGCAAAATTCCGGACCACGACCCTGAAGGATGAAATATTAATGGAACTTTAGGATGAACTTAGGCAACTTTTGTATTAGCTTAGGAGAGCTCTTTCTTAGTTACTTCTAACACCCTGGTATGTCTTCTGCCATTTCCTCTCTACCAGACCTCGTGAAGAGCATCCTGGGAAAACCAGGCTTTCTACCTATTGATCTTCTCGATCTTCAATTGTCGATGAAAGCTTTTGTTTCTGGGGTGTTTAACTGGACGTTATTATCAAAAATTACATAGACCAAACTGAGGGTATTAATGTTAGTTCTAGCCTGGGATACAAAGGGTACCTTAGGATCTCCGGTCGTGTCATCATCCACCCACGGCTCTCATTGAGAAATTATAATGACCTGCTAAGAGATGTTAAGTGTCACCATTATCGTGTGGCCTGCAAAGACGATGTGACTCCACACTTCCGAACAGTCTCACTCTTTGAAGTGATCCGTGACAACGCGGTTGCAACAGTTCTCGCTGAGCAAGTGCTCATGATATACCTCTCAACAGTGGCATGGGCCTGCTCGAACCAGCTGAATCTCTTCCAGAAAAGCAGACATGGAATCCCAGGTCTTCCTGGCTTCACCGACATCCGTTCGAACAGGGCTCTTCCATTGGCCCAGAATCAGTATTGGTTACCTTGCAATAGGGCCATTTATCAAGAATGGTTGAATAAAACAAACCAAGAGGACCACTGTTTTAACTGTGTGCGCCAATTCACCAATCTGCCAGATGAAAAGAGATGGAAAGGCCTTTTTGAAACTAGACGTTGCGCTGCCTGTTGGCTCCATCTATACAAGCACAACAAGGAGAAGTGCCCCGATATTATTACTGATGCAAGGATGCACGAGGTCTGGGTTGGCTGGGTATGTGGGAATCCAGTATGCGACGAGCCAAGAACTCCTGCAAATGCGCGCACATTTCGTTTCTGGGCTCAGGATAAGCGATGCGCAGGTTGTTACCTGCATCTAAGAACTCACGGCAACGATAACAATAACCCGAAATATGGGCAGACGGCGGCGTTGAGGAGGTATATGGAACATGCCGTGTCCCCAGGCTGACTAATAGCCATCTCGTTCGATGGAAAGGCTGGAAGGCAGCATCTAAATGCCCGGCCTGCGCTCGCCAACCAACCAAGAAAGAAGATGAAGAGTGGATGGAGCTGTATGGAGATATCTTCCGCGTGATATGTGGTGTAGACCGCGAGTATACCATTTTCATAATGTGCCGCACGGAGAAGAGGGCTTGTGCTCTCCCCCAAACCAGGATCAAACAGGATAAAACACCTGACGAGGTCGATGAAGGCGCCTCCCAAGACTAGAGTCGATATACTCTTTTTATATTAGCGTCTTGATGGACGTCTACACAGAGTCACTTTGTGGGCTCTAATTCCAAACTCGACGAAGGTGAGGTATCTCTACACCGACCCAAGATCACGTATGTTGACCGAAAGGAACCAAGGTCAACATAACCATGATCTCCAAGAACGGTTCATTCATCGAGGCTCCATGACTCCACCGCCTTCGAGGGAGGCTGAATCGCTGTGCCAGTGCGTAACACAAGAGCTCATTATGGTCAACAAGTTTCACATTTCTTCTACTGTTCTTATTGCGGACTCACTCAGCAATAGAAATCAGTTCAGACAATAGAAAGCGTATTTATGTAACTGAAACATCATCATGTTACTAGAACAGAAAGAATACCACTGTCTCTTTTTCTTCCTTACATCCTAACTACTTCATGGTCTTGTGACAATTTAAACAGAGAATTTTCAACACCTCTCAGTAAGCTTACAAGCCCATTCAACTTATATAACTCCCTGATTAAAGGTTGAACCTAGGACATTTTTATCGTCTGTCCAACGGCGAAGTTGCCAACCGTGCGGCCAACAGCACTATTGCTGGACCGAAGGACCTTTCAGAACTGGAGAAATACAGCTTCCATAACCTTCTGCAAGAGTGGTGTAATGTCCGACCTATCTCTGGAACAACCGCGCAGGTCACCTCGGATAAGATGTGAGAGTCATTCTTTGAATAGGTGTCCAGTCTCTGGGACTCAGATGACCACATGATCACCATGCCTGTCTTGAACGTCAAAATACTCAAAAAAACGTCTGTAGCTGCTGGCTACTTTATCACGAACCTACCTGTCACGCCTTCGAAACTTAAGCGAGGTCAAGACTTGTAGATAACCCCTCAATGAATGGCATAATGCTTAGTATATGCATTGACTGGGCTACTCGATTGAGACGCGACAAACAAAATCCTCCCAAGGACCTAAGTCATTTCATGCCCAATGGCTAAATTCCAATCAATACTGCGAATGTTCAAAGATTCAATGAGAAATATGTTAGTATTATCACCCTGAAAGCAATAGCCGACCAACAAACACCACACTCCGATGGGAATTGGACAAACAAAGTAATGTCAAAAGTTGTCATCAACGTTTTACAAAGACTCGAGGTCGAAGATCTCACTACCGCATTTTTGAGAAGCGTTCCCGATGTTGTCAAGTCTGTGCTAGGCGCAGATAACTTTTCACCAACCGATCTTCTATATCTTCCGCTTGTTGACAGTAGCTTCAAGCTGTGGGGAGTGTATATCGATATCGCAACATAGCTTATTGAGAGGCTTGGTCTACGGTGACTTGCCAATAGTGAGGATTGTAACATGACCCTGAGCACCCCCTATTTTCATGACTTTAAGCCAGCCATTGATGGCGGCATAATCTCGAACGGATTTTCTTTTTGCAGGTAGAATAGAGAGTGAACTTTTCAATTGAACTAGGTTCTCACTCGGAAAGAGGTCTCAGGTAGTCAGAATATCCAAGATCATCCGTTAGTATCAACAACTACATGGTTAAAGATCCCACCTAACTTACTATACCTCTTCTAAAATGCATTAAATTTACCTAAACTTATTAAAAATCAACTGAACTTACTTAAATTTATCTTAATGGTTTTATTGCTTAAGATTCAGTCCTAAGTTCTCTGCAATCCCTTAGACTGAGGTAGTACAAGCGGTGATACTTCACACTTCACGTTGTGAGCAGAGCTGGTACTCTGCAATTGCTACGACACATTGCAAGCAACCCATCAAGTTTATTCATGGATGTATCCTATAGCCTTGATACCTTGAGAAATACATCAAACTAATGTAATGCAGCATCTGCAGGGGCTCCCCTCTGTCTGGTCTTACTCATCAACTCGCTTGTTCCCCAACGGAGCCTCCTCATCAGCAGTGGCACCAGCATGGCCCTCAGGGAGAGCGTTGAGATCATCTTCGTGAATATCGAGGCTTCGGAATTGCAGCCAGAAGCAAGTTCCTGCAATGACGGCGAGGATTGCGACGACGCCGTAGTTCCAAACAAGAAGAGGATCGGCCGCAAGACCAACGAGAGCCTGTCCGAGGGCGGCAGAGAACGCTGTCATGAAAAGAGCAACGGCCTGGACCATGGAACGCATGTTCTTGGGAGCCTTTGAGAAAGCATACTCAAGAGAAGTAATAGATGCAAACACCTCAGAGAGAGCAATGAGAACATAACTACCGGTTTGAGCCCAAACATTGATTTCCACGGCTGCGCAATCTTCACCAGAAGCATACTTACCGCACTCGGACTTCTGGTAGATGTAGTGCTGGACAACTGCAGCCCAGATCATGGCAGCAGCTCCGGTGAAGAAACCGGCCGTGATCTTCTTGATGGGGGTGAAGCGGAAGCCAGCTTTTCTGAGGGCAGGGTAAATGAAGAAATCATTAAGAGGAATGAATATCAAAAGTGCGAAAGGATTGAGATTCGAAAGAATGTCGTTGGGAACGCCATGGCGCTGCATCACGGCCGCCTGGGAGATAAGGTTATTGTTGACTAGTTACCTCAGTTAGTCTTACACAATTCATAACAATGTAATAACACTTACTCTGATTATAGCAGAGCCAGAAAATAGGGTACCAGCAGAACACAGCGCATGCATTGAATCCTCGGCTGAGCTCGTCGACCCAGGCGTCGTCAAAGGTCATCCATTTAGGTCGCGTCTCATGACTGAAGTTCGAGGGCTTTACTCTCTCCCAAAAGTCATCTCGGTGAAGATTCTTCCAAGTTGCAAAAGGATTAATACTCCAGCAACCCTTCTGGGCGAGGAACCAAGTCTTAAGTGCCTGTCCCAGGACGGAGCCGGCAGGAGGCCTTCGCTCATACTTGTTGCGGTTCAACCACATTACGAGCGGACACAGACAGAGCATGAACGTTGGGAGTGTATAAGATAGCCAGAAACCGACTTCCTTCTCTGCGAATACCATCTGCGCCGTGCGTTAGCATCAGTCGTGATATGCGAGATCTTGAGCTTCAACACCAAGTCTTCAACATCACACCTCAACACCACGCTTCAATGACCTCACTTTTGGGACAAAGAAAGTAGGATACTCACAGTTACCTGACCTACCAAAGCCCCAACATTTATACAGAAATAAAACCAACTTGTTTGTGTTAGTTTTGAAGTGTTTGTTGTGTTGGGAATACTCACAGATACACCCTTTCGATTGTCACAGCAGGGTCGACAATGACGCGCTCGCCAGACTTGAGAGTCTTCACATGTATATACTGCTCGCCGAGCTGCTCAACAATAAGAGGATTGACGTTAGGTTTGAAACCGCCAGTACCAAAACCGATAACTATGATAGCAACGATCATGGCACCAAGGGCACCACCTTGGTTACCGATCACAGGGGGGATTGCGGATATGATTAAGATGATGTGGCCGATAATGTCGATTCCGAGAGCCCAGCTAATGGTCTTATAACGACCCCAGTACTGGTCAGCAATATAGGCACCGAGAAGGGGCATAAAGTATTGCCAGAACTGGTTGAACGTGGTAATTCCGGTCGAGGCGCGCTGACCCATACCGAGAGCGCCAGGCTGTTCAGGGTCAGCACCCGTGGTCGAGCCTTCGGGGAGCTTCTGCTGAATGAAGTTGGTGACTTTCTGAGTTAACATGACAGAACTATGTTGTCGAGGCTGAGTTAAAACTTACAAACAACCGTGCAACCATAGTAAGAAAAGCGCTCACACAACTCAACAAATGCGATACTGAACAGCTTCATGGGAATCTTGTTCGGGACTCGGCGCAAAGTGTCTAGTTCCTCAGCAGTTGGGAACTGACCATCTGGTGTGACACCACCAGCGGGGGCAACAGCTCCCGCATCTGCAGTGGCTGGACGAGGGTCGGTGGCGATAGAAGCTCTCTTCTCGGCAGAGATAGAAGCTCGCTTCTCGTCAAGGACTTCAGCTCGGAGACCGGCCACCGTTATGGGCTCGGCGAGACTGTCTCCTGCAGGCGCCATGGTCGTGTGTGTGCGAATCTTTGGGGCCGCAAGAATGAGACAAGATAGAGCTCAATACAACAGCACTCTGCCAGATACTAGCCAGAGAATTTCGCTACGGGGAGAGGCCATTTATATATCTTGGAGTGTCGGACAATGCTACCATAATGGACCTTGTACACCGGATGGCACCGAGAACGATCGACATCGAATAAGAAGCCAGAGGGAGGCAATTGGACAAAGCCAAGACGCCAGATCTGACGAGAAAACGCGAGATATGCATATTGAACGTCAGGAGGACGTATCGACTGCAAGGATGGAGTGAAAGAAGAAGGTCGTAATTGCTACCTACTATAAAAGGCTTGATACCAGGAGCCTCACGGCAAGGGTGGATGATTCCTTCTCATCCTGCCAAGATATTTCATGCAGTTTGTTTGATAGTCGAGACAGGATTTTACGGCCATCAAGGAAGCGATGTGCATACTGTTGGTAGGGCATCATATACCACTGTATGTACAATCTAAACGCTCCATGTTAGGATGAGGTTGAACTTTTGCAGTATACTAGTCTCACATTTACTTGGCAAAGACAAAAAAGTTCTTGGTAGCGTCCTTTAGCTTGCCAATGTTAGCCAATGTTCGGGAAATTTATTTCTGCATCTGGGCAATATGGTTTGTATGAGACTTGAGGACGCCACCTAGGTATGTACATAGGCTAACATTTTGAAGCTCTACAGTTGCGACATTGCATGAGTGAAATCACAAAGAGCTGTGCGACCTTCACATCTGGTTGTGAGGGTCTTTCTTTGATAAGGACCAGAGTATCGAGGTATTGATGCCTTCGACTTGGCAAACCGTATAGTCCTTATCTGTGCGATCCAAGTTAGGATATGACTCCGACAATGCGACACAAAGGTTGCGGAGCTAAACTCAGTATGCATATGAAGCAGTCAAAACGTTCCTGATTAGCCAGTCTGCAGCCGTCCCGTGATAACGAGGATGTCAAGACAGACACTGGGGGTGCTAGCTAGGCTAGGCGCTGGTGGTTGTTGCTGAATCTTGGCATAAGAATATTCATGGAACGTTAAGAACTTTTGCAAGTCTGGGCATGATAAATGGGGAATAGATAAGTAAGGGATGGCATTGGATTTCCGTGTTGCAGTCGGTTTAAGGTTGTCTGGTCGGCCATGATAAGGGTTCGTACCAATGGGATACGAAAATTACTCCAGGGTATAGCTTGCAATCCTTACACCCAAAGATTTACATAGTATGAGCCGATGGTTCTTCTTGACTTCATGCTACCAGGTGGACTGAATCTTCCTCGAAGGTTTGAACGACCAATGTACCTAGGCCAGTGTCGTTGGATCAAGATATCCCTTGACATGTACAATATCATTTTTCTTGCCCGTCACCAAAAACATCTACCGATATATCTACCAGACCACCACACAAGACCATCTCCAGCTCTGCCGTCTGTTCTGTAGACTGCCACCTTCCTATTCCCGCCTAATCGCCCCGCACTACAGTAATCCTTGAATGCAGCTTAATTTAAGCTTCTTTCAAGGAGCAATGATTTGCAGCAATTCGATTGGACAGGATCAGTAAAATCACCCATACAGGACTGTCGGATTGCCAAGCCGCCGCTTCTAACAACATGATCAGAGAGACAGCCCGGAGTAGATCTTTGTTTAGCAAATGTGATTTGCTTAATATGGCAGTTGTGATATAGAAATTATCATAAAGCGGATATCATCGGATAATTGACCCATCAGCAGCCTGATGATGCTGTAACCCAGAAGCTGTTGGCTCTGGCAGCTTCGTCGCAGGTACATCAACCTCGAATTATGGCAAATACCATGAGTCCCGAACATCCGCATAATGCCAGGTTCGGTAGTCAGAAGTGATTTCACTAGATGGCACTTCTCTTTTGTATAGTCCCCGGTATGCGCTAGAATAATGAACCTGTGAACTCGGTGGTTTCAAGCTTCCAGCACCCGATGGTTGCCTACTGTTTTCTCGAGCTGTTTGTTTGCAAAGAGGTCTGATTTACCCAATAATTCATGCTTCGAAGACTGTCAACACTTCTCCAGGGATCCTGCGTTTTTATCATTATAAATCAACCTGTCGTTCTTCATCAACGACATGATCACTGTGTCGGAGGTTATTCATCGACTAACTCTTCGACGACCCAGACAACGACTTCATATGATGAACAACGAAGAAGAAGAGTTGATACATCCAAACAGAAATACAACAACGAATAGTGGGCCGCCAGACCACACCAATTTGTTGGCAAGCCTTCGATGGACATGCAACTGTTCATGGTGAGATACCAGTTGATAAAGAAGCCAACACTCTACTCAACAAGGGTATCTTCTTTCGATAGCACCAAACCATGGGCGAGCCGGAGCGACACAATCGACAATCTTATTTTACGCATAGACATGGTTCCAGGAATCCAACAAACCATTCAATGACTTGAAACTCTGAACATCGCGAAGTTCTTCCTCTATAGGACATCAAAGCATTTTCAGGAAGGCCTAGCCGCAGCCAGTCAATCTTCTCGTCCTACCATTTGCGGATGAAAGCTTCTATTTCAAGGGTATGTCTGATCGCACATTGATGTCATTATCAGAAATCATCCAGAATGAAAGATGAGTTTCGCAGACATCATGCAGAACACTTGCACAGCACTGTTGGTCGCATAATCGAGAAGGATGCTTGAAACAATTTTAGGATCCTAACATGAATCCACTCTAACTGGTATCTTTCCAAGTAGAAAAGTCTAATGATACAGCCACGACAAAAGCCCTTTTTGAATACCCAAGTCTATTGCATTTCTTTTAAGCTCCCAGATCGGTAAACACACAATTCCCTACGATCTGAAGGTCATTCCATTTCCACAAGACCTAAGCATTTCCTTACAGCTTGCCCTTGAGCAAGTTGTTGATCATCTCACGACCAGTGATGCGAGTGGTATCCCAGAGTGTAGGGAAGTCGAGGGTGCTGGAAAGGCCGTCGGCAAAGCCAAAGAAGAGCATGGGAGGGATCCAGCCGCGAGCGTACTCGAGCGCAAAGCAGCCCTCGGGCATCTTGTACTGCTTGACATCGCCGCGGCGAAGGTGGTGGATGCTGCCGGCGGGGTACACCTCAGCCTTGTACTCGCCAGGGACGTAAGCCAGCTGAGTTCCAGAAAGGATGTGAAAGTAGTCGTCTGCGGTGTGGCGACCAGTGTGGCCCTCAGTACCAATGGCAGTGCCTGTTTGACTGAATGTTAGCGATTGATATGCAATTGCAGCAGGCAAACATACCAAATATGATGAGGTACTCGGTGACACTGGCGTGGATGATGTACATGGCACCCATAGCACCACCAGCGTTGTTAAAGACCCATTCCTCCTTGAGGTTGATGTGCTCGGGAACCTTCTCGTTAAGCTCCGTGACGATGTACTGCACAACCGATCGGGTGTCCTCTCCGTGCTTAGCGATGGCTCGCTTAGAGAGATCGTCGAGGTGATCGAGGTCGAAGATGTAGAACTGGTTCAGGTTCTGCTCGACAAAGTAGACGACAGAGCTCAGGAGAGCTGTGAGGAGACCGAGAACCAGGAGGAGCTTGTTGAGGCCGCTGCCCTGCGATGCGGCGGTCGCAGAGGACTTTGACTTTGACTTGTTCTTTGCCATTGTGTTGACCGACCAAGTTGAACAAGTTGAAAGGAATAAGTCGTCACGAATCAATCGCGCGAAGAAGGGGGCTATTAGTTCACAATTTCTGTTGAGCCCCGGAAATTAACTTAATAAGCCCGGCTTGTTCTGAGTTGGACCCTGGAGCCGCCCGGCCCCAGGATTAGCCCATCAACATCTTGACCGTTCCGCATCGCGTTTCCGACCGCAATTTTCTAACCATGTGAAATCCGTCTGCCAGCTCATAGCTTCGTTTTCGTATTTGTATTCGCGATTAGAAATATTTCCAGCCTTGTCAAATATATAGATCTATTGGCTATCTTTGCAAACCATTAAGGAAAATAGCATTGCTTTTCCGCATTGTTCCTCACCGCAACCTCTGTGCATGCGTGGTTCTTTCAACGCCGTACAATTACACCTTAAAACTGGGGGAGAAATAGTAAAGAAACCCAACTCCAATCCCAATCCCAATCCCGCCGCGATAGCTTCTGTGAATCGCTAAACATGCCTTTATGCCTTCCAAGTAGAGTTACACACGCCGTCTTCTGCTTCTTCTTCTTGTTCCTCTTCTTCTGGTAGACCCCTAATCCACGTCTGAATCTCCCATGACCTCTGTTCTATCGGCATCATCTACGTCTTCGTCGTCGTGAAGAACTGTCTGGTCTTCAATCTCGGCATCATCCATTGTGACGTCTCCCATGGTAATATCGCCAGCCGTCATGTCTCCCACTGTGACATCCCCAAGTGTAACATCGCCGTTAGCATCACCGTTCTGCTTATCCATTTCGTCATCCAGATCAAGATCTCCGTCGTCCTCTCCCGGTTTCTTTGGTCTGGGTCGCTTGACTGGGGCAATGACACCAAGTTCCGATGATCGTGGCCCCCAACGAGCTAGACGTCTCGTCGCCCGTCTCAACGCCCCGGCGTAGGCACTGACTTCTTCGCCAAAGTCATCTTTCTCCTTTGTCAGAAGACAAAGACCACCCACGCCCTTCTCTCTGAATGGCCCTGGAGTCTTATCTCCATATGTTAGGTTCCGAGGAGTCGAGGTTTCATCATCACTGTCTTCGAAGGGATCTTCTTGGACCTGGAGTCTTTGATAGGCTCTGAACACAGCACCATCTTGTCGTCTGAGTTTTCGGCTCTTATGGTGTTGGCGGCGAAGACCACGGTCAAGAATGTACTCGACCCTCTGGCTCCTGTTTCGTTCAACAGCGAGTTGATGGGCTGTTGGGGGGCGGGGCTTTCTTGCAACAACTCCCTCATTGACAGTATGTGCCGGAGAGGAGGCCTCGAAGATCTGATACTTGAGGGGTGCGCCTCTGCGATTAGATGCAAGACCGCGACCAAGCCCCCTAGGCGGAGGTGTTGACCGTGTGCTATCCATGTCAGACTCATGCTTCGAGGGCCTGATGCGGGGGAGGATGGCTGGACCCTCATCAGCGAAAGATGGTCGCATTTTGCTTCTCTTGGTGTCCCTTTCATTGAGGAGAGCCTGGTCCATTTCAAGAATCTTCGCCCGCATCTTTTGTTTGGAGCGTCCAAACTCAATCTCTTCTTCAGTGTCTACGTTCTCCTTTGCCTTCTCTTCGGGAGTCATCTCCACAAGCTCAGGTACGCCCTGGTTGGCAACATCTAGCCCGTAGTCGACCCCAGGCCCGAAAGGGTTCTCTTCGCAGCCCTCTTCCGTAAAATCAGATTCAAGATAGAACCACATAAGCCAGAGGAATGCATTCGCTCTTGACTTGCTCGTGTATTCAGTCCTCATGATCAGGTCGTGGAGTTCGCGATGGCGAGGAAAGTGAAGCTCGGCGATTTTCTGAGCTGTGTTGCACATGACAAATATAAGATTGACAGGGTTTGTGCGAGGAGTGTCCAACTGCTTAATTTTGTCGAGAGAGTTGGGTTCCTCTCGATCTTCTGCACCACCTTTTAGAATAGACTTAAGACGAGGTGCATCCTGAAGCTGCTTGTAGGCATGGGGATCCTGGCGAGCTTGAAGTGATGGGATGGCATGGTATGTACGGAGCTGAGCTCTCATCTCAGGGAAGACTGGAAATGTTAGCGGTGGTTTCAAGAGTGAGAAGATTGACCTTACAGTTCAGAGTGGTATTCATTCGGCCCATGTTGACAAGAAGACACACCATAGCCATTCCTTTTGCGGCTTCTCTATCACTTAGCAGTTTATCGCGAAGCACCTTGCTGGTCTTTGAGCTGCGGGACATTGTGTCAATATACAAGTCGGCAAAGCATTGGCGCTGGAGTCGTTTGGGTTCATATGAATTGGTAAAAACACATTGTTCATTATCGAACACAGCCTTAAGGAAGTCGTATTGAATGTCTTCTCTCCAGAGAGGCTCACCATCTTCCTTCTTTAGATGGCGTATCTTGCCAATCGTCGGTTGATTTGCGGCGTCCTTATTTTGTGATGATTTTGTTTTACCTCGCGACGATTTTTCTTGAGGATCGGGAGTGGCATTGGCCATCTGAGTATCGTCGTCCTCAGTCATGGCTCGTGAGACAAAGGACTTGGCTTCGGGCTGACCGGGTGAGCTGGGAGGATCAACCTCAGACGTCGCAGCGAGAGAGGCAGGAGACGCCATTGTAGGTGGTTGTGGCTTTTAACAAAAAAGAGGGTATTCGCAAGGGGTCGCGAGAAATAGAGGTCCAAGTTCAAATCGTCTGGATTGATCAACGGCGCATCGCGAAACGACAATTCGGCCGGACTATCAATGTTTGGCAGGGAGATGGAGGTGGGGATTGATTGATGATGACTGCGTCGAAGACCAGATTGCGCGCAGATTGTTTGCGGGTTGCGAATGCGACAACGATGATAGTATCAGTGTTGGTGTTTTAGAAATAAATAGAACGAGTCAAGGTTCTGGAGTTTGTTGATACTTTAGGATGGGAAGAAATGGAGATGGGAACGGAAGTAAGAAGCGAAGTTGCCAGTTCCTCTCCTCAGCCTTTTCCTTGTCTTGTGTTAGTTTGCCTGGGGCAGCAGAGACGCCCACGAGCCGGGAAGTTGCTGAGCGCGTCACGGTACATTACCACAGTCTAGGAGCCCGTCGTACCTGATTCACGACTAGGGACTCCGTACTTTAGGACAGGCAGGGAGGTGTTCGGTGGAGCAAGGAGGCTGAAAGAGCTGTGGCTCAAAGTAATATTGTGGCGTTGTTTGTACTGTACCTTAAGCATGGTCCGTGCTGGTCGCGCTGCAACGACCCGAGCTAATAAGCTAGGTGTAGCAGCGGCCTAGGCATTGTGTTTTCTAGCAGGGGATTGTACTCCCTCATCTCTTTACATCAACAAATCTCATACCCAAGGGAGCAACCAAGCTCACCACGGCTTCGGCCAGGACGATATACATACTAACCAACAGGGATATTGACGACAGGAAAGTCTCCTTTTAAAAAGTTTGGAGACATCGCAGAGAACTGGCCAGTCTTGCAGAGCGTTCAAGAGACTGAAGGATATTCAACAAACAACAGAACCAATATATAATCACTATTGTCGGCAGAGGTCCAAGTCTTCCAAACTCCAAGCACCCAACATGGCCACTCCCGTCAGAACAACTACCGTTGGCGGTCCTCCAGTGACCGACAGCCCAGGTACTTGGCGTCACCCACGACTCAACGAGATCGCCAGGCGTCATAATGCGACGACCTTCTCAGAGAAGAATGTGCTCCAGATCGCCTACAATGTCGTTGCGCTGCTAGTATTTTGGTTTTCGCAGGTCTTAGCCAAGCTTTACATTGGCTCTGAAGTGTGAGTTTTCGCGAAGGTCTTTTGCGACCGACCAGTCGTTAACTCCAGTCTTTAGTGTTCCTAGCTCTTTTAGGTTATACTTGGGCTGGGCTTGGTTCGTTCTTAACCTCGTACCATTTATCAACATTGGCATCGCGTGTCTGCCCCTGATTCGACCGAAAGATGATCTCTCCGATATCCCTCTGACACCTGCTCAGCGCAAGCTGCTGGGCCTGGACCCTTCCTCGGCTGCCCCAACCCCCGACGCGAAGTTCAGCACACCTCCTCGATATTCACGCACACCTTCCATAGGTGGCTCTGTTGGAAGCCGAGGAAGCTATGGCAGTTCGCCTCTTTCTGGGCGAGGAAGTCCTCTTATTCAGGGAGCGGCTGGCTCACCGTTGGGCAGTCCTCTTTTCCAAAAGAGCATCAACAGTTTCGGAAATGGAAGAAGGTCTTCTTTTGGGTCAACGAGCCCATTTGCAGCTAGCTCTTCTTCCAACCTCTTCTCAGACCCTGCCTCTCCCGGTTCCGCTGGAGGCAAGCGAACAAGTGTCGGGTTGAACAGCAAGTGGTTATACGAGAAGGGACGACGACCGTCGGGCAATGCCTGGAACTTGTGATTCGGGGCTGAATAACGAAGTTAGACATTTGGACAAGCATGTTTGTGATACAGGAAGGACTCAAGCTATGTGAACCTTGCTATTCGGGCAGGAGACACTGTGTTCGATGTACATGGAATATGGCCTATGAGAAACCCCATGTTGATATTCCTGGGAAGGGTTCGCAGTGGGAGTCAGAAAACTCCTCAATAACAAAACTAATGATTTAATTGCACCACCTGACCAGTGATTTAAGAAGATCGCTGTTGAGATACTAAATCGGATATTCGACAAGCTCGAAACTGCACGGTTGTCTCATGCCAACATGCGGAGGCAGATATTCCTGAAAACAGAGCATTTCTCATGCCTCTCCAGCCGCAATCGATCAGCAAAGGAACTGGCAAGGATGCCAGGCTAAATCCATGCAGTGCATTCCAATCTTGACAACGGGCGGCCCATGAAAGCCTGAGCTTCTGACTTGGCCTCGATATATTCTGCCTCCTCCATCGTGAGCAAGGTCAAATGACTGCATATTCCGTGCTGGACTACAAATCCCATCATCTCTCGAGTCTCATCCATGCTACCATGGACTGTTCCCTTGACGAAAATTTCTCTCAAGATGAGATTCATAGGGTCGAATTTGAGGCCATACTCAGGAAAGCCAGCAGCCACTAATATTCCTCTTGGTCGCAAGCGTTGAGCAGCCCAGTCATTGGCAGTATCGTCGCTGGTGCATACAACGGTAGCTTTGGGACCAATTCCGTCAGTGAAATCCGAGATCTTCTGAATAGTTTCTGGGTCATCAAGCTTGAGTACGATATCCGGTTGGAGGTGATATGGCACTCCAGAAGCGAGCTTCAGACCAACCTCATGGCTGTCAATAGCTATCACCTATAGCCTCTAACCTTTGCGAAAGAAGCCGAGGCAACCTATACCGGTGATGTCAATAGTCTCGCCCTTTATCATATTTGCCTGGGCCAGTCGGTTGCCTGAGATTGGTTGTCAGCATATCAAGGGCAATAAAACACTTTCAACTCTGGGAAACACACCCCTGCACACACCAAAGGGGCTGCCTACTCAAAGCCTATGCTGTCAGGCAAGGACATTAGAGCACCATGCCAGGAAGCTATGTATTCGGCAAGGCTCCATCACGACGAATGATGCCACACATTGTCCTATTACAACAGAAACGTGGATCGAGCGATCCAAGACTCTGCATAGTCCATTTGCATTCTTTGCAGCCCTGGCAAGGATCCATAAAGTTTGTGACTCCCAAACGATCCCCTATATGCCATATCCCAGGTACATCAGAGCCAAGAGCGACTCTTTGTTCCGGCTGGTTCATGAGAGCCGGTGAAAGGTAATGATACCTGGGTTATGCCATGATAAACCATGATTTCTGAAAAGCCAGCGGCTGCTCCATTGATGAGGACTTCATCGGGCTTTGGTTTTGGCACTGGGACATCGTGGAGGAGGGTGTAGTTCTTATGAAACTAAAGACGTCAACAAGCGCACAAAGCACAAGATCTAGGTAGACAACTTTATCTCAACCAGTCTTAACGCCTTCATCGTCTGAGGTGCAGTAACATGAGCCGACATTTTTCTAATGTTCTTGATGAAAGTAATGGATGACAATGGTTGCAGGAGAATAGTCGTGGTCTTCATTTTGCGAATAGTCAGACAAATTCTCCAGGTTAGGCGCAACCATAGTATGACAGACAATTGAGAGTACCTAGTCTACAATGGAGACAGAATCGGAACGGGGTGCATACAAGTACCTTAGTGAGACAACACATGACTTGGTTCTCACGCTGACACGTCTTGGCTCTTCTTGATTAAGCCAGTTGCCAGTATTCGTTATTTTGACCAGTTCAGTGATCCCCATGAAGCATCATTCATGAACTCATATTTAAGTTTCATTCATTGAATCAACTATTACCCAGAGCGATCACTTATACAATTATCTGGCTTGTTGCGTGTTTACAACTTGGTCATGAAGCCACTCTTCTCATTCTCAAAAATGTTGGTGAGTGTTCCAATATGAGGCAGAATCTCAACCGCGAATTCGTCGCCGTGCCGGAGCGCATCCTTGGGAGTTCGGCCCATTCCAACACCGGCGGGGGTGCCAGTGACAATGACAGTTCCTGGGGGAAGTGTAGTGCCTTGAGACAGCCAGCTAATAATCTTAGGAACAGAAAAGATGAGGTCGCTGAGTAAAGTCAGTGGAGAACTTCGCAAAACTGTGCGTGGTGCTACTTACTCAGTGCCGCTCTCCTGATACACTTCGCCGTTCTTTAACCCTCGCATGTGAAGCTTGGTGGGATCTGTGATAAGAGATTTGAGAACCAGTGTTGGGCCTATATAGGGAAATTGTTAGCTCAATCAACCATGGCCTCAGATGAACCTACCTAATGGACAAGCCCCATCAAAGCTCTTTGAGAAGGACCATTGAGACTGGTTTAGCTGCTGAGTGCGGCTGGAAACATCGTTGGCGGCAGTGTATCCAAGAACGTAGTCCAAAGCTTCGGCCTCGCTCACGTTCTTAGCCGTCTTACCAATTACCACAGCCAATTCTGCCTCGTAGTCGCCAGACTCGTCCACCTGGCTCAGCTTGGGAATGGTTCCACGAGCTGGCCAAGGATCCACGATCGTTGTCGCTGGCTTCCTATCTGCAGGTCAACTCAAAGCATAGTCTTGTTTACTGATCAGCCAGACTTACATGAAGATGACCGGGATTGCTGGGGGATCAAGTCCACACTCCGCAGCGTGCTTTCTGTACTAATGCGAGTTAGATCCTGCGATTTCCAGGAGTAAGGTAGCTTGACATACATTCAGACCGACACATCGAATAGTACCGATCTCATTCTGGGCAAGAGGGGACAGGACGCGGTCAATGGTTTCGGTAGTACCAGTCGAGGATCCTGGGGATAGGACTGATGAACCTGACCAAACATTGACTGCAACCTCTTGGCCCTTGCGTAACGCAGCACCAACATCAATATCCTTGTCTGCTGGCTGGCCGATAAGGATCTTGGAAGGACTAGATCTAGGTACAAAGCGTACGAGACCTACAAGAGTTGTTAGGGAGATGCTTTAACGATCTTAAGATGATCTGCTTACGCTGGAGGGCAGATGAGGCCATAATATCTAGTGCGTATGACGTGGTTGGGAAAGCAATTAAGATCAAAACAAATAAAGACAGGAACCAAGAGATCGAGGCCTTGAGCTCTTTATAAAAGGCGGACTTAAGCCTAGCGACATTGAATGAATAAGTATTAATAAGTCCGGCTTCGGCATATTGATGTCCATGTAACAACGTGCGGGAACTGGGGTCCCGGCGGGGAGACGCCGGACTGCTATCGGTTCGGGTAGAAGCCCCCGAGGGAACTACTGGAAAGTCAAAGCATTCATAACTACAGATATTGTATACATACACTTACCTGTCGATATATTAGCAGACATCAAGCAATTACAGTTTACTATCAAACGAAATAGATTTTTCCAAAATGATATAAAATGTAAGCAATCGAAGCCAATACTGTCTTCTATCTTATCCACTACTATGTAGGTACTTATTACCTTAGTCTTCAGACAGTATACTTTATATTAGAGAATGCAACGCAGCAACACAAGCATATTACCAACGTTCTGGCCAGGGACAGTACTGTACTAGGCAGAACTGCCATGGCTTATGTTGTTCAATGGTCAAAAAGAATGTAAACCTGTGAGACGCAAAAGATTAATGCGTGATCCGAGAATCGAACTCGGGACCCTCCCATGGGAGAGGAGGATTTTACCACTAAACTAATCACGCTTCTATTTGTTAATAGGTGTAAGAATTGATAGCCTATGTAAGGAATGAATGCTGAGCTGCATTCTGTGTAACGAGAAATTACTATCTGCCTATCGATGTTGGAGAGTTGAGACGGAGCAAACAGGTGAATGCGAGCTTCTTATATCAGGCGAAGCTGATGAGCCCGCCTATGACCTGCTTAAGATCGCTTTGTGGGGCAGAAACGAACCTTACTGCATTAGTTTTAACTCTCTTCCGCCACGACGCTGACTTTGGCCCAGCATAATCATTCAATATGGATCGAAGCTCAAAGTTCCGTGTTTGCATGCAAGTTCGGTATGTAATTTAATCAGTTGCTCTACACAGGATGGATGAGGGAAAGCACAACAGCCCAAGCTTTGGCATACCGGTACGTGGACAACGACACGACTAAAGGCGGCAAAGGCCAGCTGGAACTTACACTGTCCACGTCTGGGAAGTTGATACAATGCCAGTAGACGATATCTCCTGAAGTGCTACAGCCTATGATAGCATAACAAAGCTGGCTCAGTGTAGAGTTTGGATTCCAAGCGCGAGGTTCGTGTGGTTCTCACGTCAAGGAGAGAAAATCCAGTCCAGAGAGGGGCTTCTATCGAGCCTGAGCTACCTATAAAAGTGGACCCTTCCTGTGGACCACTGTTTCTGACGGAGCCCAGCTTGAAGCTTCGGGTACGTACTGGTAATAGCCAACCTGAACCCCTCCACCAACAGTCGCCCACCTGAGCTGCAACACCTCGCCTCAATATCGTTACGTATTCTACGTCACTACATAATATATTTCTTCGGTCATATCGCTACCAAACCGCAAGACTTTCCTCAAGTCACTCACCCTACAAACGTCTACCATGGCCAGCAAGGTTGACCGTATAGTTGCCCGGCTACAGGCCAAGATCGAAGAGGGTGATTATTACGAAGCTCAACAGCAGACCCGTGTCGCGGCATCTCGATACATCAAGACTTCCAACTGGCCTGCCGCGATCGATATTCTCTCCACTGTATCCCAAGCTTTGCTGCGCGCGGGGCAGGGTGGTAGTGGAGGAGATTTGTGTGCTATGCTGGTTGACGTCTACAAGCAGGCAGAACTCAAACCTGATGCTACCGCCAAGGGTCGACTATTGACGTGTCTGCGACTATTCGAGGCTGGCGAGCCTACGAGGAAGAAGTTTATCGGTGAAATCATAGCGTAAGTGCTGCGTCGTTGTGTTGACGAGCTATCGCGAACGAGCATACTGACATCATTGGGGAAAGTTGGTCAGCAAAATTTGGCGAATACCCAGCTGGAGATCCCGAGCTTCACCATGTCGCTGGCTCACTATATGCCGAGGAGCACGATACATACGAGGCCGAGAAACATTTGATATTGGGAACCAAGGACTCGCCCGAGATTCTGACAAAGATGGAATATAATTGGTACAAGGAGAGCGAGCCTCATCAAGCGGCTCTCTTCGCCGGCCGTGCAGTTCTCCCATATCTCCTCGTTGGCAATGTTCGTGCTGCCAATACCTGCTACCGCCTCTTCACCAGCTCCCTCTCCAACGATAACCCGAACCTTGGTGTCCAAGACGTATCGAGCTCCGCTGGTGACATCCGCATCTTTCCAAGCCTGCCTCTACTCAACTTTCTTGGCTTTCTCCTTCTTGCTATCCAACGCGGCGCGCCCGAACTCTACCGTGCTTTGGTGTCTAAGTATGCCACACAAATCAACGAGGCGGGAACATGGGCCGAGGCGCTTGAGATGGTTGGAGAGATGTACTTCGGCCTGTCCAAGCCTCGACAGAGCAACCCTCTTATGGATATGATGAGCGGTTTCTTTGGCGGTGGCGGCCAACCAGAAAAGCCAAAGCGTAAACAGGTTACGCAACGGCAAGATGCCCCCGCAGCGGAAGGTCTGGACTAGATAATCTGATCTGTGAGGTTGGATGCTGGTATACCATATTGCCTTGGGAAAAACATAGACAGCAGGCGTTGTAAGGTAAATAAAAGACTGGGCTAACCACGGGGCTGTTCTTCTGGTTCAAACATCCAATTATCTTCGGCAAGGGCTGCCACTTTGGCTCGTAGACTTGCTCTTACAGCTTCAAGAAGTTCTGATGCGGCGTTAATAAGATGAGAATAACAAAGTCAAGGCCATGTCGCACCTTCAGGTTGTTCCGTCATAGCATGACGATGTATCTGGTGATGTTTAACTGCTTCTGCTAGACGTTGTCTTTCCTCTACTCTCATTTTAGCATGGGTAGATCTCTAGTCCTGCGCATGTCTTACTCTCACACTCTTGCCTATGGTCTAGAGGCAATTCATCCTCGTCTTCCATCATCGGTGTCGGAGGGTCCCCGAGCTCAATTTCTCCGTGCTTATCGCGAACTACGATCTCAGATGTATCAGATAAAATATCGACGTCTGAATGCAGTGTTTCGGCAGACGTAGAAGTCGATCCAGCGGTAGGTCGCCGGGTCAACTGGCTTTGGAATAGATTGCGACGAACGCCTGCTGAAGAGGCGCCATTGCGAGAGCGGGGAACCCCCGTGCCATTCGTTGTTGTCCGTGTTCGATCTGCCATCGCGAGATCTTCAGTTTCGTCGGTCGTTGTGATATGAAAGAAATGTAACTACCTATCCAAGAAGTTGAAGGCGATCAAAAATTGGTTATGTATCCGTAAAGGCAGATGTATGTCACCTTCTATTGACTTTCTGTGGGGTGTCCCGGGGTGTCTTCGTCTAGTCATCTTAGCTGCTTCATGTCAGGCTTACTCCATCCTACTCTTGTTTTCAGCGTATCTGCCCCGGTCAGGGCAGTTGCACAAACACTTGTGCCTCCCTCCAATAAACATGTTCAGAGCTCAGTATCACTCGCACAACTACCTACTAAGTTAGTAGGTAGACAATCAAAAAGCTCCTCACTTTAGGTATATGCTCATATTCACGTAGTCTCATGCTTCTGGACACCCGCTGCCTCCAAGCTCACAAGGCGGGATGGTATTCAACGCGTAATAACCTCCTTAACTCCATCCTTACAAACGTTAAATCTAAACCACTCTTATTTCAGAAAAGGTATATACTCGACATGTATTAATGGTAGTCGAGTTGTGTTCAGATATGTTGTCGCCAGTACTCCTTGCCATGTGTTCCTATATGTGGAACATCAGTAGGGCGACCATGTGCCATTGGTGTAATATGCCGTAAGCTCTGTCTCTTAATCGTACAGCTTGTCTTCATCTCCAAGAATGCAGCCTAGCCCACCAATACGCCCCTGCATCACCCAAATTCGGAAGTTTATTCTGGTCGCTTTGCGGTGTTCCTACAGAGAGAGGTTGTAGGAGTACTCGTCTTCCATGTTCTGGCTGATCCAAAGGACGACAGAGCTGTGCGGAATTAGCGAAAACGATCGATTGCCTGGGATAATATTCTTCTTACCTAACGCCAACAAGAGCGTTACTGAGCACATTCTCAATTCCCATACCAAGAGCAGGCATAGCGACGCTGGGCACAACGAACTTGAGAACAAAGACGGTGACACCACCGGCCATTCCACCAGCGAGAGCAGCAAACCCTAAGAACAGGACCACCCGAGCCTTCCACGCTACCCCATTGCCGCTGTAGCTGAAGGAATCGGCGCTCAGGCGTTGCTTTTCGACCGAGTTGATGATAAGCATGCCCAAACTGGAGAAGATAAAGGGCAGCCAGTCAACAAACTTGACATGGATATCGGAGCCGTTGCGCGATGACTTGGACCAAACTGCGGAATCGAGCATGATGTAAAAGGCGATGGAGAACTAAAGCGCACCAGGTGGTTAGTACCGAAAACTATTGACAAATAAGGTGCATGAAGTCGCGCATTATGCGTTAAGAGAGCCATGCAATGAAGAAGGACGCCAGATACTCAGGCAGGGGACAATTTTAGATTCAACGTACAATAGCTCCAGCGCTGTAGACACCAGCATTTCGGGCCCAGACCGTGTTAAGCCACTCGGGCCGTCGGAACTTCCAAAGTCGCTCTTCCTCCATGTTTAAAATTATGTGCGGTGCGATAGGTTTGGTATTTGTAGTGCAGTTGTCTGATGTTGCAGGACCGCTGATCGTTGACGAATGATAGTGTTGACGATGCTGGGAACTGGAGGCTGACAATGACGAGGCTTCGCGCGTGGACGGGACCGGCCTTGCTTTAGCGCCGATTGAGATCACGTGATGCTCCTCCGTCTGGAAGTGCGACATCGTGAGGTGGGTCGTGGTGGTGGAGACATTTCGCGTGGCTGGGTGCCATAAACTGCAAAACACAGGAATCCACTCGCGGAGACGCAAAAGATCCCCGTTGTAGAGAGCCATGCCATATTGATTACCCCGCTGGTCGGTGCGATGCTCGCTCCGCTCACGCGGGACCCTGAAAACAATGGAGTTGAGCTGCGGATAGGACAAGTATCACTATAGAGCATGTACCTTAAGGTACTCACATAAGTTCTTAGTTCTAGTTTGGCTTCGTACCTGGTAGATAGGTATTCAGGGCATAAGTACCTACCTACGTAGTAAGGGACCGAAATATGGTGATGTGGCGCATATGGTATTGATCAAGGCAAAACTCTATTCAGATAAACATTGTAGGGAGCAGCATCCTCGCCGTTGAAACACTTTGCTTTGCATGCCGTTTCAACGGTGTCCAACGGTTCGGATACAGCGTCTCTACGTCTAGTAGTATCTGCAAGATAATGCATCAAGAAGGGTAGCGACAGAAAGCCACTTAACAATACTCAACCGTCGCGAATCGGGCATACAACTAAGTATTCGTCAAATGTAACAGGATATCGACAATGCTTCAAACCTGTTCCGTTCATAGCTGGACAACAACAGATACTGGGTACTGAACTATCATGTATTTACTTGAATGTACACACCATGCTTTCCATGTAGCAGCCATGGTTAGACTAGGCTCTCAGGCACAACACCAAGAGCCATCTAGGTTCGTGGGCCAAGACAGAACAGCCAGCCGCTGGGGATATAAAGCTGACCACCATATCTGCGTGGCGGCGAGCCGTGTCTGTCAATTTTCACCAAACGAATCCAAAGGATTGATAGCCGCTGTACATTCAAAACAATTGCCGCATTAGCCTCTCCTAATAAAGACCGCGGTTTCTCCTGATATTTGCAGTGTTGCTAATGTTTTTTCAGCCAGACGCTATCGAACGTGGGCGAATGAGATCCTCCCACCAGCACCTGGTCTAGACCTATTCGATCTTAAACATCAGGTGCACCATTCTCCTTTTTACTGGCCTGCCCTTCGCAAACACCTGGCCCACGCATTGACAGGCAGGCATTAGGAAGGTGCAGCAAGCCCCAGTCCCTGCCCGCTTCTCCCTCTGTCGTGCGACCCCGTCTTTGAAGTCCCTTCCCCGTCCCATCGCTTCAACCCGATCTTCACTCTATCATACAATTGCTAACGCGATTTTTGGTAGTGCGTCTCGCCCACTCGCTTGGTTACGCACACTCATTCGCTCACCTATGCAGTTATTACATTCTTTATTTCTTTATTAGTCCTTGTTGTATTCCTTCGTTCGAGTTGCAGGTGGCCGGCACAGATAACTTCACTAATTACCCATCTCTCGCTTGCTGTCTTCACTCCGCTCGCCCCCTTGCCAGAACAATAGACGCGGTATATCCCTTCGTACGTACACATTACTGTCGAGCAATCAGTCGCCTCCTACTTTGGGTTCTCGAAGAAACACGCCTATTTTTCTACGCGCTATTTCATTACGGAAGCACACATCTGCCAGATCAAGGCTCGACCTCCCCTTTTAACATTCCTAACCACCCTCGATATACGCAATTTATCTCACTCGCCCTTGATCGATCGCAAAACAAAGTCTCACACAATCATCCGGTGGTTTCTGACGCCTATCTCGCGAGATATCTTTCTCCAACAATACCTGATATCGATCTAGGACGTATTTTGTTTGGACAACCATTCTTAAAAAAGCCGTTTGAAACGACTAATTGATCATGAGACCGATCAACTACCTACCGAGACCTGACCTTTTGGTCTCGGTCTTTGCCTCCGTTTCACTGTACGGTGGCCTGGCTTTGGCCCAAGATACCAAGGATGATCCCAAGAACAATGACCCATCTGCTGTTCCTGCGGCGAGCGATTCGAAGAACAGCGATGCCAATAAACCCACCAACACAGCTGCTGAGTCTGCCAAAGAGAGCAGTGATGACAACAAAGCCGAGCCAGCTAGTACTGAGACGAAGGATAACGCGAAGTCTGCGTCAACGAAAGACGAGCAGCCTTCGAAAACGGAGGAAAAAGAAGAGTCCAAGTCTACTGCGCAAGATGATCCGGCCAGTACTGCGACAGGAGAGGGTCCAACCAAAACCACAGACATTCAGTCCACGATTACATCCATCGCCTCTTCTGGCACGGAAGAAGCTATGCCTACCTTGACAAGATACAAGCCAATTCCTACTTATCCAGCTCCTTCTGTCCCCCCTACTAACAATGCTCCTTTCATGCGGCACTCGAGCGCCCCTGACGGTACCGTGTTTATTGCAGTTGGTGCCATCCTTGGCGCTCTTGGGCTTGCCATCCTACTCTGGCGTCTTATCGTTGGCATCCTCCTCCATCGGTCTGTTGAGCGAGCAGCCAAGGCCCAGCATGACGAGAACGCAAAGACAGGCTTTCCTGCGCCCCCTGCACCCTTCTATAAATATACTGATACCGGGTCTACAATGTCTCTCTCTGCTGGTCGCGGCGTGCGACGAACCACCCGCGGACCTGTTCTATCGTCAACTCCCAGCGCCTCCAATCTGTTTTTCTCCCCGACTGCCGCAGCATCAGGCAATGGGGCTGGCAATCGTGGCTCTGCCTTTTTACCATCTGGCTTTTATGCGGCTGGCACGAGCTCTCCCGGTGGCCAACATGAGAATAACATCAGCATGACCAACTTACGCCCTGATTCACGCGGCCACTTTGGCACTCCTTCACGACATACCTTGAATCCCAGCCCTCCAGATTCACCTTCATTCCAAGGCCGAAGGGATATCAGCAACTCGACCCTCAATCTCAATCGACCACCAAGCCAACGCGCCCCTAGTGCGTTCCTCGAAGATCTCCTCGCTGACGATCCTTCGAGTTTGCCGCCTCCACATATGCCTGCCTCGACCGCCAGGCGCTCATCGTATGGCAGTGGCTCTCCTGGCGCGCACAACCGAATCTAAACCGGTATCAAGCGACCCCTATAATGGAAAACTTTACATGCGAGCGACATCATGCTTAAGCGTCCTTGTTACCAGAGAAAAGACTTGGTGTTACAGGAGGGGGCATTACCTTTGAATCATTTTACAACAGCGGCGTCAAGAGAGTGGCATTTTTCTCATCGGGATATGGCTTGCGGATAATTCGATACTTAGTCATGAGAGGACACAGGTGTGATGATCCTCGGTAATGTGTACGTTGGTGTTATGAGTAGAGGTTTGGCTGTTGTCGACGATGCAACAGTTCAACAGCTTGGCTGTAGGCAATGGCGTGGCTTTAAGCCTATCATGTCCGCTATCAGACCACCAAAGTTCTACTCTCTGCTTGGATAACTTGGGGGAGTTAACGGTTTTGATCCATACCCCAGAAATATCTTCTGGCTTTCTTAGTACATAGTCTTCTTCAAAATGACACCTTCATCTCCATCTGTCTTTCTGTGTCTAAAGGCAACCAAATTTGGGAGACTACCATGAATTTGACAAGTGGCGGTACATCAATCGAGGTAATCTGGAAGTTGCGTTATGAAAGAGACACGTTGAACAACCTATTTACGAGAATGCCTACGTTTGTCTCATCGTCAAACCCCTACATAATAGGTACCTATACAATTTTACTCTTACGATTGAGCGAAGTTAGACATATTGCGACCATAATCAACAGTTGCCAACATAACATAGGTAGCTTTAAGTTTGTAATATACCACTCCTGTATATTATAGGGAGAGGCTACAGGTAACGGGCACCATAACCATGAACTGACTGTAGTCATATTGCACCATATGTTACATGTCAAGAGCAGGCCGTTTATACTATTACATGCTCATCATCGTACACTCTATTGCGTTCTTCGCCCAGTACCACATAAAGCCCCATTCCTGATATTGCGCTTTAGCCGACCCCATACTCCATGGCTGTTGGTCCCACAAGATATATCGTTCTTCATTATGCATTAATGAGTTATTTCATCCTCGAATCCTGCCCTGCCTGCGCCTTGGTTAACCGAGGGGCATAAACAATCTAAGCTCGGGAGGTCGTTGTAGCCCTTTCCCCACAGTTATCATCATTCAGCTGTTCTTTGCTACTGTGCCCTTCCAGAGACCGTCTTTCCGGATGCTCATCAACAGGTACGCTGTGAACTGAATCACGGCTGTCGTGCTGAGGTTGTTTCGGCTTCGATTGCTCCTTTTCTTTTCGTTCTTCCTCTTCCTGCTGCCGTTCTAGCTCCTCAATCTCTTTGACGGTCTTTTTGCTTGACTCGACATCCTCTTCCGCCTCTGCCAATAGTAATCTTACTCTCTCGATCCTCGTCATGGCCCCTTCTAGTTTATCGAGACGTCTTCGTTTCTCTTGATCTCGTCGCTCCAGCTCATCCACGCGCTGTTCGAGCTTTGCCCGGGCACGCCTCTCCTCGGCGACCATTTCATTTGCCTGCTCGAAGAGGGCAGCGCTGAGCTCCTCAACCTCTTGGCTGGTAGCTGCAACCTTGCCTTCGGCTTCTTTGCGCAAGCATTGTTCTCGATTGAGCGCCTCCAGAAGATCTTCGGCTGATGGAGATGGCGGGGGTTGCAACTGTTGCGGGCGGTGCGATTGGCTGCTTATGGAACGCTGGTTGGAAGGCCGGGAGGGGTTGGTGTCGATATGGGGAAGTTCGTGTGACTTGCGCGGGGAGAGGAAAGATGACAGCCGACTGGTGCCGCTTTGTAGGAATGACATGCGAGCGTTTGTAGGCGTCGCAGGTAGTTGTTTCTGGGTTGGCGATGAGGGTAGCTGAGCGCGCAAATTGGCGAGTTCATCTTCGTAATCGGCCCAGCGATCGACGGCGGCAGTGGCCTTCTCATTAAGAAGACGGACCTGGTTTTCGAGATCTTCGATACGGGCCTGGGCCTCAAGTAGTTGGACTTGGCTGTGATCGAGAGGTAATGAGTAGCCACAGCCCGGGCAGCACGGCGTAGAATCAGCAGAGAGAGTGGGCGCTGCCATTGTCATGACCATTGTCGTTGACATGGCCGGCGCATATATGATGTTGTATGTGAGCCGTCGGCGGTTACGGAAGATGTAGAGCGGGTGCTAGGAAAGGCTCGTAGATGCGATAAACCATACAATCACTGAGAATATGCCAGCGCAGCAATTATTACCACCAAGTGATAAATATAAAAGTCGTGGGTGTTGTTTCAAAAAGAAAGGTTTCAATGAATACAGGGATAGTCAGCCCAAGTGTCCCTATTTTGGTCGCTGAACCGAATGCGGACAGTGGCTTTGGCGCCTTGGACACGCGATAGCTTGAGGGGTGGGGAGGCGCTTGGGCGGCTGAGCAGGCGATTTCAGTGGCGCGTGTCTTGGTGATCAGGGTCCAGTCGTGGCAGGGTATGTATTTTAGACTACGAAACAAATGGCGTTTCCTGTATACCCACGCATGTTACAGTAGGGAACCGAGACGTTGGGAGTTGACTTTATTTATGTCGATTCCTTCATGCATCAAGGCCAGGCAGTTGATTTCCCCATGTATCTTGCTTAGGTATTCATTGGTTCCACTCAGGGAGCAAAGACATAGACAGTCAAGTGCTAAAGAACAACAAACGATACGATATTTCATGACTCAATCTCGTATCAAATTGCTGTTGGAATGAATAAACAGGGTCACGTCACGTCACGTCACTATATCTGATCATGTTACATCGAATGCAATAACTCTGGGAACACGCTTCTCAGGCGATATGAGCTTTAGATCAAGTTTCCAAGCTGAATCTAGGGCAGGCCCAACTCATTATCACCCGGCGGCCCTGCGCTCAATTATCGTCATTGTGGATTCTTTTTCGATTATCCCTAGCCCCGTCTCTTTTATTGAATCTGAGCGACGAGCCCAAACAGACGAATTGGCATACGAATTGGCAATTATGCGAGAAGCCTTGCGCCATGAGATGGCGACTGAAAGCCATTGTTTGAATGGAATCCGGTGGCTATAATGATGAGCGCGTGCCTTGTTCACTGTAGAATATAGAGTTTGCGTGTGCACTTGTTCCACGGCGGGTAGGTCTCCTAGCCAGATTGTTCTGAGACAAGTGATGTCGGGTGTCCTTGTTGTATCAGGACAGCTCTCAAACAAGACTGCAAGCTCAGCTGGGCTTTGCAACCTTTCGAGGCTCGCAAATGCCTGTTTCGGGATCTCTGTATTCTTTCCAACTGATAGGGACCATATCATTACCCGCCTCGCTTGTAGCCATAACAACGCCCAATTCGTTCGAAGCCGTCGATAGGTAGTAGTTGGCCTGGTCTCCAAGAGATATCTGGCACAAATATGTCAACATCACCACCATATACGAAGGAAAGGGGAGACTCACCACTTGCGCGCGGACGATGTCGCCAGGCTTAAAAGACTCGTAAATCTTGACCTTATCCTTTTCTGTTGCCCTTACGTCTTGCACTCTGATCACACCCTGCCACTCTGTCTGCAAAACTGTGTCGCCAACTTGCTGAATCACCACAATCGCTTGCTTTGGCATCAGGCGCAGGACTCGCGCAAGGACAACATTCTCGACGTCGGGCAGTACCTCGCGCTTGTGGCCATGGCGGGCAACGGAGACAGTAGCCAGCTCATCTGTCGTAGGTGCAGTGATCTTGTTGAGGCGCTTTTGAGGGCCGGGTGTCTTTGCCGGGGGTGTCACAGTGACTCGGCCAAGCAGAGAAGAAACAACATTGCCCTCGTATACATGTGTACCGGGTCCGGGCGCAAATTTGGTGACCGGACCTAGGATATTGCCAGGCAGGGCAACGGAGGGAATGTCGTCGACAGCCATAACCCTCGATTTAGGTGCTTAGGTGAGCTTGCGGCGAAGGGTGTGAAGGGTTTGCTTTATCCAGCTCCCGCGCGGATGAATATGCTTATTCACCGGAAGTCGTCAGCTCAATCGTTGCGGAATATCGGAGTTGGGTCTTGGATGACGAAAGCTCTATTCAGCCTTGCAGTAATGCAGTCTCATTGCATCCAGACTTTGCTGAAATTCTAAATCCATCGGGACGGCTTTCAATTGCGGGGCCGACATTGGAGCTTCGTGGGTTATGTAAGCGCCAATGTGGTGCTTAAGTCCCTGCCGACTAACTCCGTCTTACACATACTGAGTCCGCCGAATCGGAGCCGGGCTTTCACTCAAGAACACTATTCGACGACAAGTCTATCGGATCTTAGTGTTCCTCCTCGCTTACACGGTGCAATGCAGTAGTCTGGCTACTAAGACCTGCATGGGCGGGGAAGCGGTAAGGTCTTTTTGGTATGGAGGGATAGGCTTCGTCATGGAAGCAGGACAAGGCCAATGTTAAGCTACCATACCTCGGATTCGAGGTCACCAGACCAGAGAGCCGTTATGCTGTGCATAGCATGAAGAGGAGGTTATGCTGAGTGACTGCCAATCTCATCAGAGACTCTGGTCCTAAGTCGGCCATCAACTCGTCTCGAAAGAGCTGGTCTAGATTCCAGCCATGGCTTTGGGTACAGTCACAACGTGTTTACCATGCGTCGACCGCGCCGAGTAACCAATCGCTAATGTCAAAGAGTTCAGCTTGTTCAGCCGTTAGGACTGGACAGCCTTGACTTATGCGATGTGCGTTACTCCCTTCTAAAGGGCTAAACTGGCAACATCCCCCAGTAACTGTTACCAACTCAGGCAACTTGGCGTAACGAAACGTTCGGAAATCTATAAATCACAAATGTATCGTGTCTCGAGTTCGAGGAATGGCTTCTAGTGCAAATGGTGGAGGAGATGGTTCCACGCGGGATCTCCACGCCCACACCCCCTTGGCAACAACTGGCTAATGAGATGAGAGGTCCTTCGTTTTCGCTCAAAGATCCTAACAGGGTGTTTTGCTGGTCAGAGCTTACCTACCTAGTATACGCGGAACCTGAACGAGTTCCAGAGCGAGAGGCCGAGCCGAAGAGCCATCAATGATGTTATTCTCGACGAACCGAGCCACTCTCGGCACAGGTCTCTGTTTCCATTCAGTCACTTTGTGGTCTTGCCTGTTGTGACAAACACCTTTTACAGAGTTGCCAGAGTCAATCCGGTGACTCATTGGCTGTTATTTCATCATAAGACTCTCTCGTAGCTGTCATCGAAACTGCAACGAATCCATCCTTCACGTAACAGGCACCGGCCCCCCTTGGCGCTATCTCCGCGTGGCAGACACCCAGGTTTATTGCCGTAATCCGAATCTGTTGAGCGTCGGTTCAAAAGGTCTCTAATAAAATGTCTGATTTTACAGTGCTTTGTAATCCATTGGGTCCTTTGTCTGCTCTCTTCATGGGCCATACAGGCGATGCAGCCACACCCAACCCACTCACACCCCCTGTAGACGACGGAATCTTTTTGCTACTGTCATTTTGACGAGATTCTATTACTTTTCTAATTCGCCTTTATTTCCTTTCCCTTCGTCTTAAATTCCCATCTGTCTCTTGTGTCTTTTCTCATTTCATCCCGCCAAGATCTACCTGTGGGCCGTCCATCGATCGTTTCTATTTCTTGGCAACCTATTACGAGGTTGTATCGCGATCTCAGAGACGAAAGTATATTGTTTCCGCTTCAATTCCGTCGCCTTTCATTCCTCATAGTGTCATTGGTCTCGCGACGACCTTGTACAAAGTTGACATTGCTTGTGAGACTGTATCTTGGTATCATTAGATATATGCTTTAGCCGTGAGCTTCAGAGCTATTCCACGCCTCGTATCTGTAATCCAACATTTACAGGGTACACGAGATTGATACAACGCAAATATGCCTGATCCGGTGGACAAGGAGCTTCAGCCCTCTGATACCCAAGCTGCTTCTCTCTCCCCCACAAATTTCGAAAAGTCCAGCGACTCAGATGAGGACAAGATAAGGGAGTTTGGAGAAAAGGACGCCGAAAGAAGCGAGAAAATTGATGAAATCAGTGAGAAAGATGGATCAAGGCTTGCAGATCTCGAGGAAATCAAGACTGGCGCAACTGAAGCTTCAGCAATTACAGCGACAGCATCAGGAACTCAAGCTCAACAGAAGAAGCCATGGCATAAGAAATTGAATCCTCTCCGCTGGGGCTCGCCACCTCCAGTTCCTGAAAAGCCAGTGCAGAGTAGGGAACATGATGCTGGTTTCCTCAGCAAGTTAACATTCCAATGGATGGGACCGTTGATGCATGTGAGTTCCTAACACTTTCTCAAATCCTATCTCGCTGGTTATACTTCAGATCTGCAAGCCACCAATTTCTGATACGCGGCGCGGCCCGTCTTACAACGCTTTTGCTGACTCGATGATATCAATAGGCTGGCTACCGAAGACCCCTGGAAGAGAATGACATCTGGACTGTCAATCCGGACAGAGCCGTGGAGCCACTGACTCTTCAAATGAAAGCATCGTTCCAGAAACGAGTTGAAAGAGGCGAGAAGCACCCCCTATTCTGGGCTATGCACGAGACTTTTAAGGGGGAGTTTTGGACGGGAGGCGCATGTGCCCTCTACACCAGCATCATTCAGGTCATCAGTCCATTCACCCTTCGATACCTCATCCAATTCGCTGCCGATGCGTATGTAGCGAACAAGACTGGTGGGCCTCCGCCCCATCTTGGTAAGGGTATCGGCCTGGCCTTTGGCATCACACTGATGCAAATCACCCAGAGTTTGGGAACAAACCACTACATCTACCGAGGCATGACAGTTGGTGGTCAGAGCAGAGCAGTTTTGATTGGGCTTATCTACGAGAAGTCGTTGGTCATCTCTGGCCGCGCCAAAGCCGAGGGTGCTTTACAGAGCAACGCGCCTGGTGCAAAAGACGATGCTGAAGATAAGAAGAAGGCCAAGAAAGCCAAAAAGGCGAAGCCCGATGCGTCAGATGGTACAGGCTGGGGAAACGGTCGCATCACTGCTCTGCAGAGTGTCGACACGTATCGTGTCGATCAGGCATCTGCTCTCTTCCATATGGTATGGACGTCTCCTATCTTATGTCTCCTCACTCTAGCACTCCTGCTCGTCAATATTACCTACAGCGCCCTGGCCGGTTACGGTTTGCTTGTTATTGGAATGCCGTTCTTGACGAAAGCCATTCGAAGTTTGTTTCACCGGCGACGAGCGATCAATCTAATCACCGATCAACGTGTGTCTCTTACCCAGGAAATTCTGCAGTCAGTCCGCTTTGTCAAGTTTTTTGGATGGGAGAAGGCTTTCCTCGAACGTCTCGGTGATTTCAGAAATAAGGAAATCCACGCCATTCAGATCTTGCTTGCCATTCGAAACGCACTCAATGCCGTCAGCATGTCACTCCCCATCTTCGCCTCCATGCTGTCCTTCATCTGCTACTCCCTCACGCATAGCGGTCTTACGGCTGCCGAGGTTTTCTCCTCACTGGCCTTGTTCAACGGTCTCAGAATTCCTCTGAATTTGTTGCCTATGGTTTTGGGCCAGGTAATTGATGCGTGGGGCTCTGTTCAGCGAATTGAAGAGTTTCTGCTTCAGGAAGAGATGGTCGAAGATATGACAATTGACACCACAGGTGATGATGCGATCCGACTGGAAGGCGCCTCTTTTACTTGGGAAAAGTCCCACAAGGAAGAGTCTGAGAAGAGCGAGAAGGACAAGAAGCACACCCAGGCTCAAATCCCTCAGCACGAACCTTCGGGTGATGACACAAGCACTTTGGTCGAGGAGCGAGAGCCTTTCAAGCTTCAAGATCTCAGCTTTGAGGTAAAGAGGAACGAGCTTGTTGCTGTCATCGGATCAGTTGGTAGTGGGAAGAGTTCTCTACTGTCTGCACTCGCTGGCGATATGAGGAAGACAGATGGCCACGTTACCTTCGGTGCATCTAGAGCCTTCTGTCCTCAATATGCTTGGATTCAGAACACCACTCTCAAGAACAACATCATATTTGGTAAAGACATGGACAAGAATTGGTACAAAGAAGTCATTCAAGCGTAAGTTCCCTCCGTTGTGTTGCTTCAATTGTCACTAACATACTTTCTAGCTGCGCGCTCCAGGCAGATCTCGATATGCTTCCCAATGGCGATATGACGGAAATCGGCGAACGTGGTATTACCATCTCTGGAGGTCAGAAGCAGCGTCTCAATATCGCCCGAGCCATCTACTTCGACGCCGATATCGTTCTCATGGACGACCCCCTCAGCGCTGTTGACGCTCATGTTGGCCGTCATATCTTCGATAATGCCATTCTTGGTCTCCTCAAGGATAAGTGTCGCATCCTTGCCACCCACCAGCTCTGGGTACTCAGCCGCTGTGATCGCATCATTTGGATGGAGAACGGCAAGATTCAAGCCGTTGACACGTTCGAGAAACTCATGAAGGACCATAAAGGATTCCAGTCTCTGATGGAGACAACTGCCGTTGAGGAAAAGCGAGAAGAAGCCACCAAACCCGACGATGGCGAACAACCCACAGCGGACGAGAAAAAGAAGAAGAAGAAAAAGGGGGCTGCCTTGATGACCCAAGAAGAAAAGGCCAGCTCGAGTGTCTCGTGGTCTGTCTACGCTGCCTATGTCAGGGCATCTGGTTCTATATTGAACGCTCCGCTGGTGCTATTCCTCCTGATTGTCTCTCAGGGAGCCAATATCGTGACAAGTCTTTGGTTGTCATATTGGACTTCGAACAAGTTCAACCTCTCTACGGGTGTCTACATCGCGATCTACGCAGCACTTGGTGTCGTGCAGGCTCTCCTCATGTTCGCCTTCTCCGTGGTCCTGTCCATCCTGGGAACGAAATCGAGTAAAGTCATGCTTAGGATCGCTGTTACTCGCGTCCTTCGTGCACCTATGTCCTTCTTTGATACGACACCACTTGGACGCATCACGAACCGCTTTTCACGGGACGTTGATGTTATGGACAACAATCTTTCAGACGCACTTCGCATGTTTATGTTGACCATGGGTATGATCACATCTGTGTTCATACTCATCATTGCGTTCTACTACTATTTTGTGATCGCCTTGGTTCCCCTGTACACTGCATTTGTCACAGCAGCGATGTACTACCGTGCTTCGGCACGAGAGGTCAAGCGTTTCGAATCCGTCCTCAGATCGCACGTCTTTGCCAAGTTTGGCGAGGGCCTCACAGGTGTTGCGTCAATTCGAGCCTATGGACTGCAGGATCGCTTCATTAATGAACTGCGTGAATCAATCGACAACATGAACGGCGCTTACTACATTACCTTCGCTAATCAGCGGTGGCTCTCAATGCGAATCGATCTCATCGGTGTACTTCTTGTCTTTGTGACAGCCATCCTTGTTGTTACGTCCCGTTTCTCGATCAATCCTTCCACTGGTGGCCTTGTTCTGAGTTACATCCTCTCGATTGTTGGCATGATGCAATTTTCTGTCCGCCAACTTGCTGAAGTCGAGAATGCTATGAATGCCGTGGAGAGACTTTACTACTATGGTACTGAACTTGAAGAGGAGGCCCCTTCACATACCGTCGAAGTTCGGAAAACGTGGCCCGAGAAGGGTGAGATTGTCTTCGATAACGTCGAGATGCGATATCGTGCTGGCCTCCCACTTGTCCTTTCAGGATTGTCGATGCATGTCAAGGGCGGCGAGCGCATTGGTATCGTTGGGCGTACTGGTGCTGGAAAGAGTTCTATCATGAGCACTTTGTTCCGTCTCGTGGAGATCTCTGGCGGCAAGATTACCATCGATGGCCTCGATATTTCCACCCTTGGACTTCACGATCTCCGATCCCGACTCGCAATTATACCACAGGATCCCACTCTCTTCCGAGGAACTGTCCGCAGCAACCTCGATCCTTTCCATGAACATACTGATCTCGCACTCTGGTCTGCTCTCCGCCAAGCGGATCTCGTTCCTGCCAACGCTGCATCGCCCGAAGAAGCACGCCGTACAAACGATCCCTCACGTATACATCTAGACACCCCTGTCGAGGAAGACGGCCTCAACTTCTCACTTGGTCAAAGACAGCTCATGGCACTCGCACGAGCTCTTGTCCGAGGCGCCCAGATCATCGTTTGCGACGAGGCCACTTCCTCGGTGGATATGGAGACAGACGATAAGATCCAGGCTACCATGGCAGTTGGTTTCCGCGGCAAAACACTACTGTGCATCGCTCATCGACTGCGAACCATCATTGGCTACGATCGCATCTGTGTCATGGATGCAGGACGTATCGCTGAGCTGGATACACCAATGGAACTGTGGAGAAGAGGCGGTATCTTTCGCAGCATGTGTGATCGCAGTGGTATCAGGGTTGAAGATATACATGGTGCGAAAGAAGAAATGGGTCTGGTGATAGGAGAAAGCAGCCAACAGTGAGATGCTGATAGCACGACCATGAAAATTGTATTCAAGCATATAGACTCAATATAGTCAATCATATACGAAAGCGCAACGAGCCCGAAAGATGCGGCATCTGAGTTCATAAATCACAATCCAGTTATTTCCATATGTTGCGGATTTGTATGTATGTGCATAATTTCCAAACTTATAATTGCTCTACTTAGAGTGATGGAATTTGGGCAAGCTCCGTGTGTCCTAAGTGAGATACTGTGAGGCCTGTTGGAGTTTTGACACCAATTGCACAAGGGAACATCGAGAATAACATGTAAAGCACTTGATGGGTCTGCCCGGATCGACTGAAAGTTGGGGAATGATGGCATGGAACCCGAGCGATCCTTGACAAAACGGTGCACTTAGGACTTTTCTTGATACATATAAAAGTATATATTGTTCGTAGCTCGCAAATCGCGGAACGCCTGGCATAACAAATGACGCTTTCGAAATATTCTAGTCTAGCCACTCTTTTATCGGCTTTGCCATTTAACTCAGAAACACCATCTCGTGTTGTCAGCTGGCCTGGCTATATGTACTTCTTGCAACGAGTAACATCCCACAGCTCAGTCCTCAATGCCGTTCCATGATTTCTCATCCTCAGACCTAATTGCGGTTTCGGACTTTGGCGTCTCTGACTTGGGTTCCTTCACAGGCTTGGAGGACTCCTGGGACTCAAGAGCTATCGACTTTCGAGGCGGCGATTCTTTCTCGTCTGGAGAATTCGATCGTCTTCGCTTCTCTCCCTTGTTGGAAGTTTGTTGCTTGTCTTGTTTCCATTTAGGTGAGCTATTGCCCTTCGAGTCAGTTTTCTTCTTATTCGACTTGTTACTAGCGGGTGGTTGTGGCTTGTTCTTGCTCCAACTCTCGAGCATACGAGCAACTTGAGGCCCCCAAACCTCTTCACCTTTGGCTAGATCCTCGTATTCGAGACAGTTGTCGTTTCCGACTTCGAAATCGCTCTGGCGTGTCCGAGCAAGCTCTGCCATAAGAGCAGCTGAATCTAGCTTAGCCCCTAGGTCATGGCAGAAACTCCTGACGTAGAATCCAGATGTTACAGTTAACCGCACCTTCACGGCGGGAGGTCCTTGGTCACTCCATGGGGGAGGCGTGCTTGTATCGGGCGACTCTGAAACCAGGTTCGAGCCCTTATTAGAGTATGTCGGCTGTGGTAGCTGTCCAAGAGCGCCAGACATCATGGGAGGCTCTTTGGACTTCCGTGATCGCTTCGATGGTGCATCTTTGATAAGCGCATCCTGACGCTCCTCAAAGCTGCGCTTGAACGATTCGTGCGCCGCTATCGCTTTATCGTCCTGTTGCTTCTCCTCTGGGCTCAACTTCTTGTTGGTCTCCTGTTGCTTCTTAACCCTCCAGACCTGCTCCGCCAGGTTGCGCTCTGCAGCCTCAGCTTCCTCGGTTGGCCATCGGTGATTGTGCTTCCCAGGCTCATACCATTCCACCAGCTCGATGTCCTTGACCTCGACTTCTCGGCCCTCAATCTGTCGTGGAATGGGCTTGCCTTCGCGCGCGTACTCATACAGAGGCTTCCCGTTCATCTTCAAGGCAGAGTATAGGGGCGGGATCTGCATCTGACGGCCCCTGAACGTTTCGAGCTCCTTCTCAACCTTTTCGCGAGTGATATGCTCATATGGCCGCTTGGTCAGAATGCGACCTACTCGATCGTAGGTATCGGTCGCGGCGCCAAATACGACAATGGTCTCGTACGTCTTGGTGCATTCCAGAAACTGGGGAAGAGACTTGGTGGCTGATCCAATGCCCAGTATGAGAACACCTGTAGCAAGAGGATCTAAGGTTCCTCCATGGCCCATCTTGACCTGCGAAGCCTTCTTGATGAGCTTACGACGAGCGAACTCTTTGCCGGATTCGCTAATGCGCTTTGCGACCTCGGAATCGATCAATGGTTTGAAGAAGCTAGAGGGATTGAATGCTTGCTGGCATTCGCGAATGACTTGCGCTGAGCTTTGGCCGCAAGGCTTGTTGATGGCTAAAAGCGATCATGTTAATGCAAAGTTCGCAACGAAACAGAGTCAGCAATTCACCCACCAAAGACGCCTTCTCGGACCTGGTCCGCTGCCATCTTCAATGTCTTTTGGGAAAGTCGCATAAGCTCTCCAAAGGACTAGATATGGCCAAAGGAGGAGAAGAGGAGAGAAGGGAGAAACAGAAAGTGTTGAACTTGAGACCGTGGTGGAGCTTGTTAAGAAGATCCAGCGCCCGCCACCAAACGCACCACTCACTTACTTGACCTCAGAGCTCGATGCATTGTCTTCGGCGCAGAAAAAAAAAAGTCTTATCGGCAGCATTCCCCGCTTAAAAATTACCAGGAACAATTAAAGTAGTCTAGGCTACAATAAGTCATGTTAAATGCGCGAACAATAGAAACAGGAGAAGCTTGGAGCATGCTTTAAGCACAATTGTTCAAGCGATTTGTGAGTTCGTGGAGCACTTGGGATTTTCAATTGCCTTGAATCCAAAATAATCGCTTGGAAGTACCAGGCTGACCGATCACCTGTAATACGAAACGGGAATGCACATACTGCTCGAGTAATAATTTCAACTCTAGAACCTAACGAGCCATTATCAGCAATCCTTGATTGGAGCAAAGGCACTTTAAGAAACGCGTTCTAGCGGGGGCACTCAAGAACACCTTACCATAGCCTCGGGGGGCAAGAAAACAGCGAACCTCGATATAGGGTGTCAAAATAAACTAAGCAAAGGCTGTCCTGAGCTCAGGCTATATTACCTAAGTCTTTTTGTCATTTAGGGTCAAGATCCTACGTTTTCTTTCCTCCCCTAGCTTAGCTACTTAGGTACCTTGCCCCAGGGAATAAGGAAACTTGGAGGTTCAAGTCAGGGTGTAAAAAAAGGGAAGTCAAACGGCCCAGAGAGGTCATGTCAGGCGTCACGAGTGTTTCTGTCTTACTAGATAGAGGCTCTAAGCTTTCTGACCTGGGCTCCCCTCGCCTACCTCGTGCAGGCACTTTGGAAATCAAATGCCCTGCAGTTTTAGTGGGCTATCAGTGATTTGCCCCGCCATCTTGCCATCCATTTGAAGCGCGACCGCGTTTCTAGGTCGGCCTCCCCAGTGGAAAGTGCCAGACTGAGAATGCTAAGTTAGCGCTCATCAACTGCACCTTTATTGTATTCGCAACCTTTCTGCACCACTCGCACATCACCAACGTCTCCCATTCTTGCTACGAACAAACCACTTCTCTCTACTCCATTAATCTGTGCTTTCAAAGCAGTTGATATTTATCAACATATCTGCTCCCTGCCTACCGAGGCCGACTTCCTCGTGAGCTCTCAAATCAACAACCAGCCAACGTCTAACGCCCCATTTCGATGAGCGCTCTCGAGGCTTGAATATTGCAAACATGGTCGGGCGCCCCCGCCGGGCGTCTACGTCTAGTGTCGATACGGAAGATGAGAGTCAAAGATCATGGAAGCAGGAGAAATCGGTGCTGCGGTTTGACGCCGGTGGTGTGGACCCAGATACGACCTTCGAGATCAAAGATGCCGTCGTTCTCAACAAAGATGGTCACACCCTTGAAAACGCCCTGGATGTCGCTACTCGTGGCCCCTATATCATCCGGGGTTTGCTCAATATCGAGGAGCAGTCGCAGAGAGCACGCCGTTGGTTCTTGCACACCATGATTATGATGTAATGAGATCTAATTGTATATCACAGTCATAATGAAAGTGCGCTCTTTGACACCTTTCGAAGTCAGAAAATGCGGCCAATACTCTATCGGAGAATCTGAAAGCGGTTCTCCAGTCATATGGATGCTGGGCACCTGTGCATGGTTCGAATTAACCCCTGCGCCAGCATACCTCCCCATATACAGAAAGATGCAGGAGGCTATACGGCTCTACTATAGATTGATGGCAATTTACAGGGATCGGAAACCCAAGAAGGCCAAGAAAAGCAAAAAAGATGCTTTGAAAGAACTCTACCAGGTATTCCATGAGGTACGTATCACAGTCCCTCATATGCTACTTAGCTATACAACGATCCTGACTCTTCATACAAGTATGCTGCCAGTATAGGAGATGGTTCAACTCTCGAGGAAGTGATCACAAGATGTGATGATCATGCTTCGTTTCTCATTGCTCAATGCATCCAAGACCAAAGCGAGGTCGAGTGGTCCGTGACCCCTTTCTTCAAATGGTTGATAAATAGACATCAAGTGAGTATAAGATCCTTTTCCGTCCGGACAACTAAATCTAATCAATCTCTTCAGGAGCTATACGACAAAGAACTTGAAAGAGTGACCAATCCTCCGCAGCCCCAAAGATCTCCCTCTCTTGAGGCCAGTAACCCCCCTGTCTCACAGTTATTGACCTCCCGAACTCGCAATGCTTCTTCGGGTCCGTCGACAGCTCGCGACGCAACCCCAGATACCAATGAGCCTGAGGACAGTCCTCCCCGACGACGATACTCAAGATCGCGGTCTGCTACTCACAGGCCCGAAAACGGTGCCGCTGACTTGTTCAGCTCTACACAAATTTCAAGAGACGGATCAACAAGGCCAGTCAGCGTTCATTCTTCAGCTAGTGTACCAAGTGTCCGTATGAGCCAGGCGCCTATTACGGTGGATGCCCGGGACGATGCTTTCCGGTGCATTCTTGATGCCCTTGCGTGGATTCGCGTAGAGATCAGCAAATCCAAGGGAGGGCGTCTAAGCATTTCAGCTGTGACCAGCAGACTCTGGGAAAATTTCACTTTCCCCACCTACAAAGGCGAGTTAAAGCCAGCGTATAGGGTGCCTATCAAGGAAGTTCTCCATTACAATGTGCACGCTCTTTTGCAGGTTCTTGACAAGGATAAATATGATGGCGAATTCTACTCCTGGCTACAAGAGCTCGCCGAAACGCCTTTCAACCCTGTCGCCATTAAACCATCGGATTTTCCGTACTACGTTAAACGACGTCAGCAATCTAACAAGAACAACCCAAGCAAACCGTCAACTCCTTCACAAGCTGGATTCTCCTCAAGGAACTTTGATGAAAGGTTTTCAACTCCTCCCCGCTCTTCGCCTGCAGGTAAGAGCCTTAGGCGACCAGGTCGTCCATCTGGTATAAAGTCCAGTCTTCGTCTGGCAACCACTTCTAGAAAGCGGCCTCACTCTGAAGTTGATAGTGAGTCGGAGGATGAGGGGTCACAGCCAAAGCGATCTCACTACTTTTCTGGTGAGGAAGAGACCATGGGTAATGCCAGTCACATGAGTCTTTCCGAGGATGAAGATGCTCAAGAAACATCTGAAGGCCCAGTCAAGATTTATCTAAGAGCAGACAACATCCCTACAACCGTTCCACGTGGCCCCAGCGAGACATGGGTCTGTGAAGAAGAGGATTGTGGATATGTGGTTCGTGGCGGTGATATTCAAGACTGCCAAGACCGTATCAGACGCCATTTCAACGAGCACGAGCAGCAGATGGATCGTGTGAATCTCGCCAGGACCGAAGCCACTCGCGGCCACTTGCCTGTAAAGTATGCTTATTTCCCGCCCTTTCTGATTCTCGTTGAGTTACACTCCCCTTGCATTACCCAGCAAAGGCAAACCACACCTGTAGACCAAGTTGCTACGACAGCCTCAACTCCAACACTTGCGAACAGCCCTGTTGCACCCTCTCTCCAGCCACGAACACCAGAATCGTCTCCAATCAAGAGTCCTGCTCTTGCGAGCAGACGCAATTTTAGGTCCATTGTGGATGGATTCCGAAGGCCCGCCCATCCCGTTTCGGATAGCATTGATAAACTGACATTTTGATAATAGTCACCTAATGGACAAGCTCAAAAAGCTGGGTGAGAAGCCACAGGCCGCTGAACAGCTTATGGTCAACGAAATCGTGTTGCCCCAGCGCATCAAACGAAACCTGCTTGTTTAATCATATCAGACGACACTTCTCGGCTCTCGGGCTGAATCATACTTTCTGCATCAGTCCTATATTTTGTTTCAAAGAGATACCCTCAGCAATAGCGCAGCGTCAGTTATGACGAGACCAGCATTCAATGGTCATGGAAGTAGCAATATCTTGGGGACGTTGTATGCCACAAAGCTCAACCATCACTTGCGGACAGTTACGCACGAGTGAGCTTAGAATGGGCAATAGTGTAAACCCACTCAAGTCATGAATTATGTATTAATCCTACCAATCCACTTATACATGTGGATGAAATACACCAAGTCACCCAATAATGATCATCAAATCCGCAGTAGATAGCCCAACAGCGCTGTGTCGTGAGATAAACATATCCTTTAAAATTAAGTAAATTACCTAGATTCCGTACCCTGTAGTTTTAGAAATGACGATCCGAGTAAGCTCCATTTTAGTACACGCATATCTATCGCTCCGTGTTCGAATCTTTGCAGTTCGGTCGTCTAAGTTTCTACTCCATCCGTAGCCATCTTGTCTTTACCCAAATTCTTGCTCGCCTCGAGAACAAATGCCTCCTCGATCGCACCCATCCTCTTAAAGACACGCAACCATCGTTGTCCCCATCGTCGGATCATGGCTTCGCGATCGCTCGACCCGTCACCTCCCTCCATCAGCTCGTCCTTGCTTCCACCAGCCCAGCTAACGAGAGCATCGTTCATGGCACGGAAAAGATCCTGAGTCGATTTCATCTCCTTGATGCGTGTCTCTTCATCGGTTTCGGGTGCAGCGACAACATCACGGCTGCGACGGGTGACTTTGAAAATCGTGTTGAAAACCAGCTCAAAGATGTGAGGTTCGGTGAGACTATCACCGCCATCAGTACCGTTGGCTGGCGTGCTAGCCACAAGAGCCCAGTCAACCACGGTAAAGGGGGTCAAGATGGAGTAGTTGACAAGTTTCTCAATGATTGAGAGAGCAACACCAGGGTGCGCGTGCCAGTAACTCATGACGGCAGAGATAATTTGGGCGCGCGCCGCATCGGAGGAATTACCAGCTTCAAGTAATCGACCCTTGGTCCGCTCGATACAGGCAAGGACGTGGCTTAACGACTTGGAACCAACCCAGCAAACGGCAGTCATAAAGACATCTGTGCTGGCAACTATAGGGTCCAATGATTGCTCCGAAGCTTGGGTTTGAATGCTCCTGAAAAGAGGCTCAAACTCCTCATCTGGTCCTTTCCGTCTCAACAGACTGGCGATTTCCTGGCCCTCCTTGGAGAACGGTGTTTCTGAAGCATAGTCAGCAAGCTGCGCTGGGCCATACAAATTTGATACATACCAGGATTCTGAAACTTGAAGTCGGGAACATCTTTCTCTTTCTCAGGGCCTACCAAGGGTAGGTAGGGTTCAGGGAGGGTCTTCTGAATTCTCTGGGCAAAACTCAGTCTCACCTCCTTATCCAGGGCACCCTTCAAGAACCACTTGCTGGGATGGGCATTTGGCAGTTGCGCATCATCGACCCATTCGGCCCACTTCCAGGTGAAGCCAAAGTTACTGAGGTGGTGGGAAAACCAATCCATGAACCGATAGCTCAGCTCCAGATCCATTTGAGGGCTGTTCCGGTAGAGGTATCTTATAGCCCTACCAAGAGAAGGGGCAATAGCGGCTGGTGCCAACTTACAGGCCTCAGTGAGGACTGAATGGTAGTACACAAGCTTTCGCTCGGGCGTGGGCAGTTGGAACAACTGCGAAAACACTGTGTCGACAGCAACATCCTCTGGCTTCCATGTATTTTTACCATCGGGAAAATTCTTCAATTCATCAAAAGGGGTAGCACGCTTAACAAAAGTGCCGTCGGCGAAATAGCAATCCAGATCCATCAAATAGCGAGCCGTCACATTACGGTTGAAGTCCAAGATGTTGATCGTGTCGAGAAGGCCATCGCGAATAAGCGATGCAGCGATGTCGGTCACAGCTGGGACGGAAGGGATCTCCTGTTGAGAGTAGACTGAAAAGTAGATCTCTGGAAATAGAGGCCGGGGCCCGGCGATAACAGTCGCGGGAATGGCGATAGTGGGAAGCGCGTGTTTAGGCGCATTAGAGAGTTTGTCTTGAGCCTCGATATCTTCCAGTGGCATCTCCCAAGGTCGTGGCAAGCATGATAATTCCCAGTTCTTGGCTGCTTCGGACTGGAGCTGCTGTTGGAGCAGCATACAAACACTGAGAGATGTGCCAGGACTCTCCTCTTTGCCCTCGGGGTGATAAGGATCAACAAGTACCTGGAGGGCATGGGGTTCGGAAGCAATAATGTCTGTCTTCTCCATCAACTCCGCGGCCTTTTGGTGAAATTGTCCAGGGGCGGACACCATGATATAAGGGATGGTAAGGAGAATTATCTTGACAATTTCGGTACCAATAGTCTGCCATAAGTCAGTAAACAGATTCAGGTTGCCACATCGTCCAACTCACGTCGTCCGAACTGGCCGTTTGGAGGTCCGCAGCTCGACTGAATAGCTCCTCTAGGATAGGAAAGAGGCCATCCCCTTCCATCAAAGACTGCAGACAGGCCAGAAACTTGAGCAGCAACTTGACATCACGCCACTCGCCCTTAGCGATCTTGTCTGCTGTGATTTGCCCAATGCGAGCGAGGATCTCGTCAACGAACTCAGGCTTCAGGGTATTGATGATGTGAACAACGGCGGCAACGAAGGGCGTCTTGAGAGGCTGCTCGAGCAGAAGTTGTGTCACCAAGTCGAGAAATTTCTTGCGAAGATTTTCGTCGTCATGATTTTCGGCCACCATATGTGCAATGGATTGAACTTCTTCCGCCCATCTGCGCAGAGGAGAGTCTGCGATGCTCAGAAGCTGCCGCCGGACGCGCACAGGAAGAGGTGCTGAGTCAACTCGTCTTCTCTGGTTTCGGCGATCGTAATGGTCGTCATCGTCTATAAAAACAGAATATTAGCAGGTGAATTGAAGGGAACGCGACAGCTTCGCGTAGCTTGCATCGGGTTGAGCTCGGTGCAACACACCTCGATATCTTCGCTTGCGGTAGCCGCCTGGTCGTCTATCGTAATCGGCCATAATACGCTTCTCGTATTTGAAAGCGCAGCTGCTTCTCGAATCTCAATGGTGGCTCGTAGTGATGATAAGTAAAGTTTGTAAGGTCGAATGCGAGGCTGCGTCACTGCTAAAAGTTTGGGCGAAGGGCATCCACTAGGGACGGAATTAAGTAGAGTGATATTGGCAGCTGCTGCCCTGAGGTGCATGAACTAGCGTGGGGATTGGAGCATTATCGTACGAAGCGAAAAGGACCGCGAGGCGAACACGGTAACACCTGAGCTAAGCGTGAATGCCTGAGGCAGGAATATGCAACCGCTGACTTCAGTCTGCTTGCGTTCCTGAGTTTCTCCCAACATGAGAGTCAAATTACTACTAATGTGTTGTTCAGATCCATAAAACGAATTATACGAGAACCGTTGCCTATAATGCGAGGCTACGAAGTGTGCGGCCAATTTACGGGCTTCGACATGATTTCGAGCTTGACATAAAAGACTCGATACTAGCTTTTAATTCTCAAGATCAATGATCACTCAAGTAAAAATGATCTCCACCGCTACGTAGAAACCAAAAACACGTGAATTTTATCAACTTGCGCGATTGAAGTCTATACATAAAAGCTGTATGCTTTCCAGAGACGTCAAACCCAGAGCTCCCCCCCGTGCTTCGATGCGTCACGTCATTCATTCTTCTGCCTTTTATTTGTAATTCATAAGCAGTCCCTTATTCTTTATATCGTCTTGGACCATTGACGACTAGACCAAATAATGCCAAACTCCTCCACGTCTGCGGGAAAGCGAGAGTAAAATGCCACAGGGCCGTCCATGGCCAGCTTCAATTGATAAATTCGTTGCAGCGCTGAGGACAATATCGGGTGCCGGGTAATGCTCACCGCAGGCCATACCAGACCAAACCTTTTCAACCACTCAGGCGTCTCCAACCGATCCCAGGATCGGAACCCTCTGAGCAACCATGGCCAAGGCATAACGCGGTACCAAAAGAAGAATTCAACAAATGTCATCATCGCCATTCGCAAAGCCAACCATAGCCGAATAATTGGGTTCCTCCCTTGAGACGCATACAATGAAAAAAAAAGTGCACCGATCATCCTCATGCATCGAAACTTGGTCTAAAAACGTAATTCCCTGTGATATGCATCAATGGGTTTATCCCTCGTCGTGACTAGCCTTAAGGCAAAACTGAGAGCGGGTTCATATAAAGGGCACGCACAACGCCCAATCCGCTCCCTGCCGGGAAAGACTCCAACGCTCGCCAGAACACACATGCCTTCTCATCTGGCCCTCGAAGCCTATACACCGTGCCTTATATCAAAGACCGACGCTATTAGCTTCAGGACCATGTAGCGCCTGCCCGCCATCTGGCCCGGCCTTAGCCTGGGCCATTGCTCCCAACCACTTTTACTCAGCTCGGTACTGGGAGTGGACGAGGCAGGACTCTTCCACAGCCGCGGAGAGCCTGAGAAGGGTGTAAGCAAATGCAAACTACCCTTCGCCTCGACGCGAGGCCGGCTCAATCGAGTTTCGCCATCATCTCCTGCTCCGTCAAGGGTGTGAAATGGTCGATATCAAGGCCTTGAGATGCTAGCACGGGTCGAATGTGTGCTGGAACAAGCTTTTGGTTCAGGCTGGGGGCGATTGAGAGTTCTGTATCTTTGTTAGCTAACTTGCTGTTGAGGTCTATGGAATTCCATCATACCATGGCGTGTAAAATCGAAAAGCGCAGGGAGTTCACGAAGCTGGCCAGTGCCGTGTCGCGAATCAGGAAGCTTTGTATTGGGGTCCCGAAGCTCGTCAAAGAAAGGATGAACCATAGCATCGATAGCTGACTGTCGCTCGGTTGGGGTGTACTCAAGGAGGCGGGCGATGAGGTCAATAGCATTGGCATCCGCCTTTCGGAAGACCTTGTTAAATGGATGAGGCTTGATCTGGG